ATCTCACTATTTGTTTGAGGTTTCGTTTTCACGACAATTTCCATCAAAATGAAATTGCATTCAGATTTTTATAGCTAAAAGATATTCAAGGAGAAATTCCCAAAAAAAATCGGCATGTTATCGCTTTCAGAGAGTTCCATTTGGAATAATATCATCCCTTTTTCTATTATCAGCCACACTTAACTATCATTTAGAAACCCACGGAAGTAAAACTGCCTTGGAAATCAGAAAAAATCTCTACCTTGACAATATTATATTACCAACAAAGGGAACCCAAGAAGCACTCAAAAATTATGAAGAAATGAAATCTATCTTCGAAGAAGCCTCAATGAACGTACGGGAATTTCTTTCAAATGACAACGAATTCAATAAAATTATTCTGGAAAACGATCGAGCAGAAGTAAGTCAATTAAAGAGAAGTCTTGCTGTTAATTGGAATCCCACGAAAGACATGTTTTAAATCATCTTAAATCCATGGAATGAGAAGAACCCGGCAAAAAGAACAATTTTACAATTCATAGCATCTCAATATGTGGGATTTCTCGTTCCAACGATGATTCAATTCAAATTATTTCTTTAAAACTTATGGAAAAAAAAACACTTGGGATCAAGATATAAGTAAAGAAGACAGGGAAATGTGAGTTCCTTAAGAAATGGCCAACACACGTGCAAGAACTGCCACCATTCATAATACATCCTTCTGAGAAAATGCAGCTCCACATCTTTACAGATGTCTCAAATGTAGCTATTCAGCAGCCATGTATGTACGAAATGATGGAACTCAAGGAATCAGAACCTTTTTGACATTCACTAAATCGCGAATCGCGCCAATTAAAGGCACAACAATATCCCGACTAAAGTTATTAGCAATACTCATCGAAGTACGAACAGTACAATTTGTAATAAATCAACTGGAAGTTGAAAACATACCGATAACATTATATCTCATTTTAAGGGCGCATTGCACTGGATTCAGAGAGTCATTCTCGATTACTACCAAAATTCGTACAAAATCGAGTAGAAGAAGTAAGGGAATTAAAGGCTTTGTTTCGTTATATACCAAGCAAGAATAATCCAGTTGATATCGAGCAACAAAGAGTCTCTCACCAACAAAGCTTAGAAACTATGAATTGTGATGGAAAGATCCATCATGATTAGAAGAAGAAGAACCAACTGGCCACTAAGTTTAATAGAGAGCAGGAAAACGAAGAAGGAAATGAAACTTATACCGCAAAGGTTACAACAAAACTCATTACAAATTTCCAACTAATAGATGCAAGTCGCTTTAGCTGAAGAAGAAATACGGAATTGGAATCTGTGCTACAATGAAAATGACCGCTACTGAAAATCCAGGAGTGGTTTGGATAATTCAGGAACATATGGAGTAATGCACATCTGTCTCCCAAGACATAACTCTTAACTGAAATTCTCATACAGCGACAGCATGAGGAATTGTGTCATGCAGGAATCGCCCACACACTATCAGAAATGAGAAAGGAATTTTGGATACTTAAAAGCAGAACAGAAGTCAAGCGAGTGTTAAATAAATGTAGAAACTGTAAAAGATGTAGTGCAAAACCACTCCGGTTACCGGTAATGCCTAATCTTCCAGAAACACGAATCAAACGCCCACGAACACTCGAGAACATTGGATTCGATTATCTGGGCCCTGTTGCTATTAAAACTGAAAGAGGTCTAACTAAAAGATGGATAACTATGTTACATGTTTTACAATAAGAGCCATACATCTGGAAGTGGCAGATGATTTATCGGCCCAGAGTTCACGCACATACTGAGAAGGTTCAGTGCTATTTCATTACCGAATTGAGAAACCTCCTAACAATTAAAAAATAACCTGGAAGAGTACCACAGCAAGAGCTCCATGGAGTGGAGGAATGTATGGAAGATTAATTGGCTTAACAAAAAAAGCCATGAGGAGAGCTATTGGAAAAAAATTATTATAGGAGAAAGAATTGATCACATTAATAGTGGGAATAGAAGCTATATGAAACATCCGCCCACTAGCACATGTAAACTTTGAATAGAATGAGTACCCAGGAAAAATTAAAATATTGGTTACAAACAAGGCTTTAGATACATTTTGGGAAATATGGAAAAGAGAATATCTAGCCAGTCAATCTAGCAGTTTAAGAGAGCGAACTCAAGAAAGACACGTTTCCCCAAAAATTGTCGAAGAGAGCCTCATGAGGATGAAGTTGTACTGGTCAACGAACCGGTAGTTTCCTGTGGTATGTGGAAGTTAGCAAGGATAAAAGGAATTAAGGGAAGGAAGGATGGAGGAATTAGAAACGCTATAATTGAAATCCCTCATGAGAAATTTCTCAAAAGGCCAGTGAATGTATTTTCTCCCCTTGAAGTCGATAACAATGAGAACCGAACAGTTCAATCATCAAGTCTAGAAGAACCAATACAAGAAACAACAATTCAAGAAGAACCTGTCGCTTCGAGAACCAGGAGTGCAAGAAAACAGCAGCAGAATTCAAACTGCTCCCAATGATTTCAATGTTCCTCAGTCGGGGAAACAAAAAATCCGAAAACGTGTGATATTAAATTATTTATATCAATTGAGATTTATATCATTGACAGGTAAGCTGAGGAAGCTGCATTTCGCAATCTGTCTTTGTTAAATTTAATTTCCTTGTGTTGCTACAAATCATTAAGAGATTCCTTACAACGCCTTTGTTCCTTTGTCCTAATGGTAGCAGATGTAGCTAATACCCCTTTGCTCCCATCGCTTTTTCCTTCCCCAACATAAAATCACCTGACCCTGGCATTAGCCATTAAACTCATTATCTATTATTCTGGTACTGCCCCACATTGGATATATAAACTGTCAAATATATCATCGGGACACTCTCTTTTATTCAATCATTTCAACACCTATACGCTTAATCGTCTCCACTTCCAACTATCATCAAATCAACTACTGATCATTTCACCTTTGATACTAAAATTGT